CACGCTTTAAGACTTATTTCAAGATAATAGAAAATTTCTTAATTTTGCTCTAAGGCTTCTTCTATAGAACTTAAATAAATGGAGACTTTTAAGTTAGCTAATTGGGAAAGGTGATGAAATAAATTGTTGATTATACGGTACTTGATATTATGTTTACATTTACCTCGATCTTTTTATTATGCTTTTGTTAGTTGAACGGGATGTATTGTTATTGATCTTGTCATTTTGGTGCTTTTGAGATGGATCCATAGCGAATGTGGAAACTTGGAAAAGATAAAGACGAATCTACGATGTGAGACCGAGTTGAAGAGACGAGAAAGAGTGAAAATGTGAGACCGAGTTCTTAATGTTGGAAAAGTTGATTGATCTAGATCGTTAAATAGGAATGTATGAGATTTTTTTTTTTTTTTTGATGAATTATAGCTTATTCTCGTGTATTTATTGTTTGTTAGGTTAAACTGAATTTATTGATTTGTAATTAGACCCGAGATGTTTTTATTTATTTATTTTTGTTTTGTTATTTTAGGTTATCTATCACAATCCTGATCTCTCTTCTATTTAGTATTCTTCTCAAATTCTATTCATCATTATATGTATGATTCTGGCAATAGAAAAATAGCAAAACTTTTGCAATGAAATTTTGAAACATTGATCTTCAATCGTTCCTTCAAAGTCCACAGGCGCGGCCATAACATAAGGCTATTATTTTCAGACCCCTCTCTCTCTCTCTCTCTCTCTCTCTCTAGATGTCGATTACAAAATGTACTAGTTTGAGAGGCTCGTCTTAATTGATCTGCCACGAAATTTACGTTATACGCAACAGAAGCACCTAAAATACTAAAAGCGACTATTATCAATTAAAAAATTGTATGAATTAATTAAAGTGATATATGTAAAGTTGGAGTCCTAGCAACTTTAACAATTCGACTTTTCTACAAGTTTGTGACAAAAATCTTTGAAGATTTCTTTTAGTTAACCACCACCTTCACAAATTATAATTTAAATAAAGTTAGGTTTAACTTGATTTCAGTACTTGACAGAATTTACAATACTCATTTGAACATAATTTATTCACACTATACTATTTATCATGATTTCACATATATTTTTTTTAAAATATTTAATACTATCTAACCATCTATGTCGAACATGCACTTCAATTATTCTCTAGTTTACTATCTCTTTATATTTTGTTTGTGTTTGTGTTCGTATGCTGGATCCAACTCAACGTCACTCCAAAGTTGTACTTACATTTAATTAATCTGTATTGAATGAATGACTTTACTTCTTCTTTAAAGTTTTCTGTACATGTATATTTCTCAAAGGAAATCAATCATAATCATGATTCGATTTAAAGAGAGATTTGTTATTAACTTTAAAGATCATTCGAAAAAAGGCACTTTAATTTTCCTAATTGAAAGAGATTGTCTGGCAGTTAAAACAAAAATCTCCTATAACAGGATCACAAACGAGTCGATCCATGAATACGCAATGGGTGCACCATATACAGACACATTAGGATCCGGACACAATTCGGATTTGGATCATGCTAGGTGGCTTAATGTTGGTGATCATTGCAACTGCCCAACAGTACATGGACAATTGCTAATGAATCAAATGTTGGACAGACCCTGTCAAGTAATTGATTTCATGTTTGTTCCAAGTGTTACATTTTCCATGAAACCACTATGTTTTTTGGACGATTATACTCCCATTTGGTACATATTCTTTCCACAAAAAATAAAAAAAATCATTTTCAATCACATATTTTCTAAAGAAAATATTTTACACGTACACCCATAATTTTTCCTTACTTTTTAATCACATTCCAAAAAAAAAAACCACTTTTCACAAGAGTAATGCTATTCATCCCCATTGAGGATGAAAACACGGTCTACGTATCATTTAACATATTATTTAAAGTCACGTAGACTGTGTTTTCATCCCCAGTGGGGATGAATAACATTATTCTTTTCACAAAATACATTCTAAAAGAATTTACATCAAATATACCATATATAAATGATATTTCATCGAAAACGGAAAACAAGGTAACCATGCTAAAGATAAAGAGCCATTTTCATGTTTTCGTGATAATTTTTATTTATTTATTTTTTGTAGTATGATTGTGTAATTACACATTTAGAAAAAAAAATGAGGTCCGTCGCAAATATGATCGTCTTTAATTTATTAAGCCCCTGTTTGAGCCACGTTAAAATTCTCATTTTCATTCTTCTACTCATTTTCAACCACATATTTTTTAATAAAATAATATTTTCCATCACATCAATAACTTTTCCTTCTTTGTCAACCACACATTCTCTATTAATCTACTATTCTAAAATACATTTTTCCAAAATAATGTGGTTCAAGATTTTCTGTCATGTCTTTTACTTCTCTCTGTTCTTTTCTTCGTTGTTTAAGGTTCTTTCGATATCAGGATCCAAGGGTAGGAGATCGATTTCTTTAGAATCTTGCATAAACTGCAAAAAAAAAAAAAAAAGTTGTGTAAATAATATCCTAAAATAAAATAAAATAAAATAAAAATTCGAATACTATAAAACTAATAAAGTCAAATTAAATCATTCCCCGACAACGGCGCCAAAAATTTGTTCGTGCAAAACCCGCAAGCGTACGGGATCATTGACAAATAATAGAATTGGTAAGTTGAGAGTATCGTCCTACAGGGAATAAATTCAATTCAAGTTTACTAATTTTTTATGAGATTCAAATTATTTAAGCAAAAAAGAGTTTGATTTTGTTTTATATTAAATTAATCTAAGAAAACAGTAAAAATGTGGTTTTTATCAATTTCTGGATGATTGTATTGGACCTCGAATCCGCATATTGCTATCTATTTCAATTCTTGATTTGTAATTTAATTTCGTTTATGCACTTTTGACAATAGATAAAATTATGATATATAATTTTCTTTTCCAAGAAAAATTAAATCTGTCATAACCACGACCCGAATCTATTTTCGTTCATACGTTCTTGACAATCGATAAATCTATGATATATAATTTTCTTTTTCAAGACAAATTAAATTAATCATAACCACGACCCGAATCTATTTCTAACTCGAATTCGAATGATTAGAATGCATTAAAATTTAGATTATCTATATGATTGCACATGTGATAAATGTTATTTCTAACATCTATTGCACATATGTTAATTTTACCACGTTCTAAACTTATTGTGAATCTTCCAACACTACAATAAGCAACTAATTATCTAATTAGTAGCCAATCAATTAAATAATGCAATGTGTATGCAAAATTAATCAAGAAACGCAAGAAATAAATTAAACTATTAGTTTTGAATTAAAACAAATAAACAATTATGGTTCATATTCATCCAATACAAAAACGGATCTAGCATAGCATGTTAATATATAAATTACAAGAAAAAATAATAGAAAAATATCACAAGGATCATGAAATAAATCAAAAAAATTTTGTGATATAATTGACCTTCAATTCCTTGTTATATCTTGATCTCCTCTCTCAAAATATAACAATTGACTTCTTGTTCTTGATGAATTTGATGAAAATGTGGTGTATGAAGAGGCAAGAGATATTTTTCAATGTGTATCTCTCGTTCTCTATTTATAAGAGCCAGAAAATAAGTCAAAATCGCATCTAATTTGGTTTCTAAAAGAGTTTGAATCGTGAAAGGAAACAAAAGATTTGTCTGCAAAAAATGCCCGTGTGCGCACACCGGTATAAGTGTTGTTCGTGCACCGTAGACCCAAATGGCTCTCGGGTTGAGGAAAATAGTGTCATGCGCGTGCGCCATGAATTACTTGCGCGCGCGAGCGGGTTCGTCTCTTAATAGTGTTCGGTATTTTAGTCATAACTTTCTCCATAGGTATCCGATTGAGTTGATTCAAAATGAATTGGAAATTTAATTCAAAGGGATACAATTCTTCTAGAAATACAAATTTTCCAATTCGAACGTTTGATATCAGAAAAATAGGTCTCCCGTTAAGGTTAAAAATATGGAGCATAACTTTTGTGACTGGAAATTGATTTGTAAAAATACTTTCACTATATTTCACTCTTTTGACCTTAAATTGCGTCCAATTGATCCTATATGATCTTCAATCATCATTTTGTGCTCCGAATCAACTATTGAACGTTACACTTTGGTCCCCAAATTTCGGATTTCCTTCGTTTTCACACTTTTTCGTTCATTTTTTTCTCAATTTACCAAACTGCATTGAGTTCAACCTAACAAATATAATTAACACATTAAGTTATAACTCATCCAAATTACTAACAAATACTCTAATTTAATGACTTAGATAAGTGTACAAAATACACTTATAAAAACTGACCAATAAATTTCTGAAAATTGGACGTCAATTTCACGCTCGGTAGTGCTTTTTGGTCAAAAATAAGATTCTCGAGAAGAAAGATGAGAGAGAGGAGAGACGAAGGCTGAGGCAATGAGTTATTAGGGCGGAGTTGCGACAGAGGTGTGAAATATATGGTTTGAACTTTGAATTTGAAATCGTCATTTTCCTATTACCTCTTTGGACTGTTGAATTGAAAAGCTCATAGTAAAAAAAAAGAATGAAAGTGATTTGGATTGAGCCCAATGAACTGGTCCTCATTGGGCTCCGTCCTTAAATGCACTGTTTGAACATAGGTGAAACTAGAAAGATGTCAATGTTGAAATTAATGAGAGGACCCCATTGCAGCACAGTGCCTAGCTGAATGACCCATTTCTTCATTGGCAAATGATATTAAAGAGGGTGTCGTTGTACACTTTGATATCATAAATGTACAGCAGACTACGTATTCCTTCCATTTATTTGCTAAATTTTGTCAACGCCTTTATTCAGAAACCTATCTTCTCAATTCATTTCTCGAAAATCCCTGCAATCCATAGCAATTCGTACAGAATTTCTTGATGCGGTGAATGTAAAAACATATGCACAAACAAGAACAAGCACTAAAACCCACAAAAAGCACACACTGTTCATCTCAACAATGAATGCTGAGCCTAAGAATTCAGAAACTGGTTTGATTCAAAAAACCCAGAAAAACCCAGAAAATTCTGCACAATCTGGCACCAAGAAGATCAAGAGAATCCGAGATAGTGCCAAGAATGGTAAACATCCTGTCTACCGGGGTGTTCGAATGCGAAACTGGGGAAAATGGGTATCTGAAATTCGAGAGCCACGCAAGAAATCGCGTATATGGCTTGGAACTTTTCCTACACCAGAAATGGCTGCTCGTGCTCATGATGTAGCTGCTTTGAGCATTAAAGGCAGCTCTGCCATACTGAATTTTCCGGAACTTGCCGCCGCCTTTCCACGGCCAGTTTCGCTTAGTCCACGAGATGTTCAGGAGGCGGCAGCTAAAGCAGCTGCAATGGAGAAGCTTGATTTGATAAAATCGTCATCATCGTCTTTTTCAAGAACTTTATCTTCTTCATCATCATTGTCGTCTCTTGTTTCTGCTATAGATCTTTCAACAACTTCAGAAGAATTGAGTGAGATTGTTAAATTGCCTAGTCTGGGATCGTCTTTCGACTCTCTGGAACTGAGGAAAGATTTTGTTTGTGCTGAGAACGGCTGGTTTGACTCCGATCCTCCTCCACCGCAGTGGCTGAGCGGCGGCAATGATGGTAGTGGTGGTAGTGCTGCTGCTGTTGCTGATGAAGATTCGAGCTGCTTTGAATCTTTGTTGTGGAATTATTAGCGTGTTTACCTCTGTTGGTTTGTCTAATTTGTGTGTTTTAGGCAGAGCCCTTTTCCTTTTTCATTGTAGGGCTAAACAAGCTTTCTTCATCCCTACCCCTACCCCCACCCCACCCCACCCCACCCCCCACCTCCACCTCAAACTCTCTTCTTCGTATGTTTGTGAATATTCAAATAATCTAACTGTACAGTTTTAGGGTCTCATGAAATTCCTCTTATGGTATGATGCATACCCATTACAAATATGATACATACTATATGAAAAAGACAGAGTCATCGAAGGTATCTGGAAAAAGGCCGACCACCAAGTTAGTAATCGGCCCGAATAGATCATCTTCATAAAATTTATTTTAAGGCAAACAACTTCTGCTTATAATTTTTTAATAGCAAGTGATGATGGAGAATCTACGAAGTGACTAATATTTCCTATTAAGGCAAACAATTTCCTCCTCATTTTTCTCCACAACTTTACCTTATTTGCACTAAAATTTTTTTTGGCGCACATTAAAAGGGAAACCCACTTTTTATTTTATAATTTTTTTCCCTTTTTGGGACCAATTCATGTTTGGCTCAACATCAAAGTAAGTCAAATTGAGGTTGAATAAAAATTTTATTTTTAAATATGCTAGATTTTATTGCTTTAATTTATTTAGAAGTATTAAATGGCTATTATCTTGGACTGCAAGATAGTAATAAATAATATCTTTCAATATAAGTAAATTACTTATTTTTAATTACGAACCCGAACACTTTTTTTTTTAAAGTTACTTATTTATTAGTAAACTTTTGAAGGTTAGCCAAACATACACTACCCACCATAATTAAAGTAATGGTCTAATCAAGAATTGTCTCATTGAATGCAATTCATAGGATTATTATATTCTTTCATAAATAATGATGTTTTGTCAGATATTTTTAACATCTTGGATCGCAGATTAAATTATAGCAAAAAGTGATTGAACGACAGTATTAACAGTTTTTTAAACAGTTCAATGATAAAGTGTCACGATGTATTATGTCATTCAAATTGTCAAGAATTTTGGTAGCCAAGCATGATTGGTCCTTTATAATTACATATTGGTCAAGATTTGATGAATATTCTGCATTCAAAAGATAGAAATGGATTTTCCTTGTGTGCATAGACCTAGAGCTAGCCCTTTTGCATTAAGAAGGTTTTTATTTTTATTTGTTTCTTCTGATTATAAAGTTGTATAATTAAAAAATAACTCTAATATATAGATAGATAGACAGACAGATAGATAGATGGTGGACCATTTGAAAATATCAATCTTGAAATTTCACAACTCGTTTGAATTTTAGACAAATGAAATAGTTTGTTGGAGTTTTCTATGCTCTAATACTAATTGAAACTCCATGTTCTATCTTAATTGTTAACATTGTTAAGTAGAGTTACTCAAGTCCTTATATGTGTATCAACTATTGTCTTCGTATTTAAAGATCAATTGTAAGAGTTTTACCCCTTAAGATCTAATAGACATAGTTATAGATTGACTAAACTAGTAAAATATAATCGTATAATCAATTTTATATTTATTGGGCTAACAAGAGTAACAAGACTTATAGAGCTAGCTAGTAATTTCTAATAATTATTCTATGATGAATGATGAATTTTATTTTTTTTAATTCTATTACGAGTGAAAAATCATTGTATGGCTTGAAGAAAAGTCCTCATAAGTGAACTTTTTCCTCATATTTCTTCCTTTATTTATTTATTTCATATGTAATCGAGTTGGGATTTATCTCTTAACACACTTTCCTATAGATACATTCAATGATCAATGGTGGGTCAACCAATGTTTGTGTGTGTATATATAGACAAACACATTTTCTTAATTTCTTCATAGACAATTTATTAATTGTGTAAAATATAAGAAAGACTCACTCTTTACACACATGGGGTTATGTATACTTGAAGCCCACAAGTTGTAGTTTTCTGAAATAATTGAGCAACTTTCTACACAAAAACCTTTGTATTCTGCATGTGCCTCTAAACATACATCAGACACCAAAATTTGGAAACTACTAATCCATCTCATCCTTTGTTTTGGAACGCTGCTTTTTAATCTTTATAGATTTGGCTAGTAGGATAAATCAAATCACCACTGGATGACCTCCATTAAACTGTGGGCTCTTTCTTGACTAGTCATAATTGTATTTGTATTTTAGTCATTCTCACACAAGAACTTTTATCAAATGTCACTAACATTGCCCAACACCACTTATTTTTCTTGAATAAAGAATTGGAAGTTGATTTTTTTATTTTTATTTTTTATATACAATAAAAATATACTTTTTTGGAGGTAGAGAGTAGAATAAAAAGTTTTAATGATTAACATTCATGTACCTCATTCATCATCATTATTCGCTGAGTGAAGTCTCTCTCATTGTGAGTTACTTTTGAATTCGCTACTTGCAATAGAAATTGTGTAAATTTATAACTATACACCAAATTAAGGAAGCTCGTAGCTTCCTCATAATCTTTATAAATTTCCGCCAAACGTGTCTACAAGATTATCTCTTGACCTCGGGGTAGAAAAACCTAAGACCTAGCTATCACAAGCTCAACCTTGTTGCATCCATGAAACTGGCCTCCACATGTGGGATTGCATCCATGCCTAAGTCCCGAATTTAAGTAACATAAAATAGTTTATATTCTTCTAGTTTGCCTATGTGGGGTTGTCATTTTTCAATTTCGCACCAATTTTTATTCCCAATTTATTTCTATTTCAAATTGTAATCTTTTGACCTTAATTTCTCATTCACCCTAAATTGGTTTTGATAAAGTAAATATATCACATTAAGCTACTCATGGAGTAGAAACACACTCAATTAAAGAAATCTTTTGTCCAACTAATGGGAACCACTAAAATAATTGATCAAAAGTTGGTCAAACCAACTAATTAAACCAAATTTTCAACAATCCCTCATATGAATGGAAATTAATGTCATATACTATGCAGGCCCTATAGAAAGATCAAGCGAAATGTTATTGCATCCGGATATTACATTATGGATTTGAACCTTCCGTAGTAGAATATTATCGAATTTACTTGGCTAATCAATGAATGCGATGTCTTGACCTGTCAGCCGTTTGTGTAAATCAAGACAATAGTATCAACACAATAACCTTCCTAACATTTTTGAGTTTTCACCATTGTATTCATTTTGACCCTGAACAACTCTTGAATTTTATAAATGCTTTAGAGAATTCAAGCTTTTGAAACATTCTCATAGTAGCGGTCCCACTTCACACTTATATAAGTGATCTTCTATTAAGAGTACTTGTCATATACCCTACTTAGATAGTTTAAGATATAAGAATCATAAAAAATAATTTCACCTAAAACTTTCTACAAATAACACTTTCTTATTATAGGAATGGGTATGAGTTAACTTCAAAGTGCTCTTTGAATCTTCATAACTTAGTTGTCACATTAAACCAAGATTTTGTGATCTCCGGTCAACAAGGTTGGGTTATCATTACAAAGATCTTTCCTTAGTAGGCTTTAAGCACATTCCCCTTAATAGACAATATCATTGATCCCTTGGTAAGTCTTTGGTAAGCAGATACGCGGGATTTTCTCCAAACTTTACATAATCTATGGAAATAACACCATTTGAGATCAACTGCTTAATTGTGTTATGTTTTCAACGAATATGTCGAGACTTATCATTATACATTCTACTTTGTACTCTATTGCTACCTCACTAACTATCACAATGCATACTAATTGTAGGCACATGTTTAAGCCAACATGGAATATCCTCTGAAAAATTACGAAGTCAATTTGTTTCCTCTCCAACTTTATCTAAAGCTATGAACTCAGATTCCATCGTGAATCGAGCTATACATGTTTGTTTAGAGGATTTTCAAGATACGATCGCACCACCAATGGTAAAAACGTACCCACTAGTGGATTTTGAATTTTTTGTATCTGATATCCAATTAGCATCATTGTATCATTCTAATACAGCTGTATATCTAGTATAATGTAATCCAATATTAAGGTATATCGTAGATATCTAAGAACCCCTATCTTCTAACTATCATTATTTGGGTTACTTGTAAATCTACTAACCTTGTTCACTGCATACGCAATATCAGGACGAGTGCAGTTTGTAATATACATTATATTACCTATTAGTTGAGAATACTCCAATTGAGATACATGTTACCTTTATGTTTGGCCAAATGTAGGCTTAAGTCTTCCGGAGTTTTAACCGGACTTTCATCATATATATGAAACTTTTTAAATACAGTCTCAATATAGTGAGATTGGGATAGAACAAGTTTCTCAAATGTTTTACGAATTTTAATTCCTAACATTACATCTCCAACACCCATATCTTTCATGTCAAAATGTTTTATCAACATTTTCTTTGTAGTTGTTATGATATCACAATTATTACCCATAATTAGCATGTCATCAACATATAGACATAAGATTACATATGCGTTAGATGTGCTTTTAATATAAATATATTTATCACACTCGTTAATCTTAAGATCGTTTGACAACATAATTTTGTAAAATTTTCCATGTCATTGTTTTGACGCTTACTTTAATCTGTACAACGAATGAACGGGCCTACACACATTTTTTTCCTGTCCAGGAACAATGAACCATTCGAATTGTTCCATATAATTTTTTTCTTTTAATTCACCATTTAAGAAAACTATTTTGAAATCCATCTGATGAATTTTCAAATTATGTAATGTTGCGATTGCAATTAATACTCTAATAGATATTATCATTGTCACATGTGAGTATATATCGAAAAAATCAAGGTCCTTTAACTACCATTCTGGCCTTATATTTATCACCTGATCCATTAGTCTTTAATTTTCTTTGGAAACTTCATTTACAACCTAACGGTTTGTTACCAGGTGACAGATCTACCGATTTCTAGGTATGATGATTCTGCATTATAAAATCAATTTCACTATTGATAGCCTCTATCCAGAATGGAGCTTCTGGA